TCCAGAGATCAAAGGTTCATTGGTCTGTTTGATCCAGAGATCAAAGGTTCATTGGTCTGTTTGATCCAGAGATCAAAGGGTTCATTGGTCTGTTTGATCCAGAGATCAAAGGGTTCATTGGTCTGTTTGATCCAGAGATCAAAGGGTTCATTGGTCTGTTTGATCCAGAGATCAAAGGGTTCGTTGGTCTGTTTGATCCAGAGATCAAAGGGTTCGTTGGTCTGTTTGATCCAGAGATCAAAGGTTCGTTGATCTGTTTGATCCAGAGATCAAAGGTTCATTGGTCTGTTTGATCCAGAGATCAAAGGTTTCATTGGTCTGTTTGATCCAGAGATCAAAGGGTTTATCGGTCTGTTTAATCCAGAGATCAAAGCTTCATCGGTCTGTTTGATCCAGAGATAAAAGGTTCATCGATCTGTTTGATCCAGAGATCAAAGGTTCATTGATCTGTTTGATCCAGAGATCAAAGGTTCATCGGTCTGTTTGATCCAGAGATCAAAGGTTCATCGGTCTGTTTGATCCAGAGATCAAAGATTCATTGGTCTGTTTGATCCAGAGATCAAAGATTCATTGGTCTGTTTGATCCAGAGATCATAGATTCATTGGTCTGTTTGATCCAGACATCAAAGGGTTCATTGATCTGTTTGATCCAGATGGGATCAAAGGTTCATTGGTCTGTTTGATCCAGACATCAAAGGTTCATTGGTCTGTTTGATCCAGACATCAAAGGGTTCATTGATCTCTTTGGTCCAGACATCAAAGGGTTCATTGGTCTGTTTGATCCAGAGATCAAAGGTTCATTGGTCTGTTTGATCCAGAGATCAAAGGTTCATTGATCTGTTTGATCCAGACATCAAAGATTCATTGATCTGTTTGATCCAGACATCAAAGGTTCATTGATCTGTTTGATCCAGACATCAAAGGTTCATTGATCAGTTTGATCCAGACATCAAAGATTCATTGATCTGTTTGGTCCAGACATCAAAGGTTCATTGATCTGTTTGGTCCAGACATCAAAGGTTCATTGATCTGTTTGATCCAGAGATCAAAGGTTCATTGGTCTGTTTGATCCAGAGATCAAAGGTTCATTGGTCTGTTTGATCCAGAGATCAAAGGTTCATTGGTCTGTTTGATCCAGAGATCTAAGGTTCATTAATCTGTTTGATCCAGAGATCAAAGGTTTTCTTCTCGCTGACAGCGTCCTGATCTGTCTGTAAAGACCTGCAGTCCTGGAGGAAGTCCTGGGACAAAAGGTCCATGCTCTTGTAAGAAAGTGATCAAAATCAGGAAACCAGAATAACTTCGGGAAATTGTTAGTTCCCAGTTTGAGAAGATTTATTCTTCAGATGTAAAAACTGGATTCATGCTCAGAATCACCATCTGATCCGGGGTCCAATCAGAACCAAACACAACCACCATGATTTCTCTGCTACCTGTCCCTTCAAACCACAACATTTAATACACCTGAGGGCGGGGCCTTTCCATCAGCAGGTTAGGGTTAGAAAGATTTACCAGAAACTTCAATCTTTGTTTATCCTGCAGAGGAACATCTTGATTCTATCATAACAACTACAGCTGATGGAAAACTGTAAATAAAACTCAGTACTATAAACCTCAGTACTTTAACCCCCCCGTACTTTAACCCCTCTGTACTTTAACCCCTCTGTACTTTAACCCCTCCGTACTTTAACCCCTCTGTACTTTAACCCCTCTGTACTTTAACCCCCCCGTACTTTAACCCCTCTGTACTTTAACCCCTCTGTACTTTAACCCCCCCGTACTTTAACCCCTCTGTACTTAAACCCCTCTGTACTTAA